TCTTTGTATCCTACTTATTTTTCATGGGTGAAGTACAAGCCGCCTACCTATAGATACTACACACGCAAGATGATGGTTTATAACGAGTAAAGAAAAGCTATAAACCCACGGGTTTCCATGGTTCGTTAAACAACACTTCAGAAATTTAGATGGAACACAATGTTAGCTATAAAAGTCTATAAAAGAACGGTGTTTCACAGAATTTTGATACACCCTTAACAAGTCGAGCGACGTATCAACTGTTGACTTGATAGCGAGATTACTATCACTTAAGTTTGCCATTGTGCCATCTTTGTGGAAAGACGTATTCAAACCATGGAGCTTCACATTCGTCTGACCACTGCTAACTTATACTGTGCGACATGGAGCAATGAGGGAGACGTGTTGTTGTCAGGACACACACACACACACACACACACTACTGTTTAAGTCAATATGAAATTTCAATGCCCCTACTAAAAAGAGTCGTTGCCTACTGCCGTCTCCTGGGTTGTTTACTTAAAATAATCTCATAATTACCAACATAGTTAAGACTCAGCTCTATGAAAACGCCCAAACTAAATGCTTTACAATAATATTAAATAATATCACGTTCACACAACCCTCCGCATTCTCCCATCAACCCCACAACAACACCACTTCAATATCCGAGTTGTTATGACGTCACATAACCTGTGGCTCTCCACGAAGGCAGTAAAGTTACCACGTAACATAAGATATTGGAAGGCAATAATCTCCACAACTTTTCCTATTACATCTCTGATTGCACACCGGAGGAGCAAGCCTTTAATTCGAAAAGTTACCCTATGCAATTTATTTGAAAGTTCTTTTTCTTTTGCTATTAATTTTGTTTCTATGAATGTTACATTCTTGCATCTTGAAGATATTCTGTAGGCCTCTGTCTCTTTTGATCCTACTAAAGATAAATGGAATTAGTAAATGATGATGAAAAGCAGTTACTGTTATTGTGGACTGTGGGTTCTTGACAGGATCTAATTTCGGGGTGGCCCGGAGGTTTAAGACGCCTGCTTCATGCATGAACATGCGGGTTAGAAACCTACCAACGGCAAGTACCAATGTGACTTTTTCCGAGTTATATGTACATACTTTATAAGATTTATACACCACTGACAAACGGTGAAGGAAAATATCGTGAGGAGACGTAGGCTTATAATTTCTAATTATAAGTTTGAAATCGCCAACCTGCATTGAGCAAGCGTAGTGATTAATACTCAGACCTTCTCCGTGTGACAAGAGGCTTTGCTCAGCAGTGGGCATTTATAGGCTGTTAAAGTTTATGATGTGAAAACATTAATTAGGCATCTGTACAGGTATGTACCAGACTTATTACCCTGTATTACTATTATAGTCATTCATGATGATTAGGAAATGCCATAATATAATTGTGTATCTAACCTTTTACAACTCAATGAAAAATAATTAGATAATCATAATTCACAATCGTACGTATGTACGTAGGTATTTGAGTAATGAACATTGACTACGGAACACAATAATTGAACGCTGCATATCGAAAATTTAATTTGAAAACTAATTAATTTAACGACTCATAGATTCGTTGATTTTATGATTCGTATAGAGAGGCATAGTTTATTATTATAGAGTAGGTACCTACCTATACTGTTGAATTAAAATGGACTTTTAGTATAATTTTCTCGTACAAATTTGCTCCTATAATATAGTTAGGCGTTTTAACAGCCGCCCATGTGCATTTCGTATCATTCAAGAGTACTTGCAGTGAGTTGCTATATCGAAAGATTCAGGCACTATGTAAAATTAGTTATACAATATGGGATAAGTCGGGAAACAAGCAGACGGATCACCTGATGGTTAGCAATCGGCGTTGCCCGTGGACACCTGAAACACCAGAGACGTTACCGTAAGGTGGGTAGGTGGGGGAGGGGGGTACATGAGCTTCCTGTAACCTCACTCACATGGCGAAACACAACGCAAGCGTTGTATCACGTTGGTTTTCTGTGAGGTCTTTGTATCACTCCGGTCGAACCGGTCCATTCGTACCTAAGCATGGCTCTCCCACAGTTGCAGTTACAGTTCTTTCTTCTTTCTTTTTTTTATATTTCATTTTTTTATATTTCGTGGTTGTAAGCGATCACGTCGTCCTATAAGCAACCTATTCAGTCGGACTTTGAATACGTGACGATATACCACCCGTTATGTGGAACCAATATTCAAAATATTCACCATACCCACGCAGTATTTATAGGTAAAATCACATGAAGTGAACTATTCATAGTCGGGAACGCATAACCGTTTTCCCTCGAAATATTTTCAATAGGGCATATAGTATATCGTATTATAGTGATATAGATAGAATACCAGTACAAAAGGGGTATTAATTAATTATGTACAAATTGCTGCGAGAGTTGTCGGTGTGAAAATAATTGGTGTCGCCTCTGGTACAGTTGGCTGCTGAATTAATTAGTACAGTCGGCCGAATGAATTAATTTCACCGTCAAGCATTCTGTTTGTTTGTGTTTTTTTACAATTTTAATGCTAATGGGTTGTGGGTTGGTGTGACTAATTATATGGTAATAAGTGTGTGTGTGTGTGGATTTATGTGCATTTGTATGTATTCGTATGTTAACGTTTTTATTCATTATTTATGTATTGTTAGTACCGCGTTTCTTTTAAAACAGTCACGAATATCCTTGATTGTTTTGTCGTGTTTTATAGTGGATTGAATTTATGACGAGAAAAGCATCATTAGTACCTTAATACACCGCAGTCGAATAATAATAAAAATAAGAGAGCGTAATTCTAGACCGCCAAAAATTAGAAGTATCTTATCAATATTAGATTTATTTTTTATTCTCATCATAGATGATACTGAAACCAAAATTGTACTGATACGAGCTCTTGACGATGATTATTCTTTACCTTAACATACTGTCTTTTTCCAGTTATAATACCTTCATTTTATATAATTTTTAACCTTTTTCTCATAAGATGAAGGGTCCGGCTGGCAATTAATTGTGACGTAGCAAAGTTAATGAGCTGTAAAAAAGATAGGAAGTGCCATGTGTCCGGGTATATTAGCCGTGACTAATATTATCTGTGAACATTCGAGAAATAACATCTCATCGGAAATTTTCATCCTTGATTCCATCATATGTTTTGAGATACAAATTATCGACTAACTTGATAGAAACTAGCAATATATATTAAAATTCTTATTATTTTTAAACTAAAAGAAATTTTGGACACTTATTTTTATTTATAACTTCACGCTTTTTATTCCCGAAAGGGTAGGCAGAGGTGTACATTACGAAACTTAATGCCACTTTACAATGTCAATCCCACTTTTCACTATTTATGTCATGTGTCCCATGTATTAGGGGGTGGGCCTATTGCGATAAACCGGGCACAACTCCAGGGCACAGGGCACAACAACAAATTTTAGATATGACAAACTAAATATAGGACACGTAGTTAGTAAGTCTGAAAACAAATTACCTACAAACAAATAACATAATGATCAATGGTTATAACTGACTAGTAGCTCAACCCTTCGGGACAACCGGCAACCCAATGTGGTACCTATTAACTAGGCACATTACAATATTGTCATTTACCAAACTATGTAATAAAATACAAAGGCCAACAAAGTTCCAGGCCAACATTTTATAGGACTCGGAAGGCCAGTAAATCGGGACAATGGCCTTATAATAGGTACATTATCATTGAACCACAGTAGACCCAAGGTCCGTAACTTTTCCAATAACAATTCTCATTGATAAGGGTCTAATTGTCAATTAATTAAATATTAAAACGAAGACCAATCTGGTGCGCAGTTTCTACTTCAAAAATTGCCCTTTTATATTGTTTGTGTGCGTGGTGTAAGTTGTGAGCTGGTCACTTGTCAAAATCTTAAAACTTTTTATATAAACGGGACTGAGATTGGGAGACTAGAGGGAATTCAATTGAAGTGTAAATATGATGTTTTTATTTATATTACATTACTTTTTCAGCACCTAATACACAAACTAAGCCTTATTTTATGTATATTTTGCTTCTAATACCTAGACCAACGGTCCCGATCAATTTAGTAATGTAATCTTTAAAATACTTATAGCATACACATTCTGTCACATCTAAGCAAATTAGCCAATCAAGGAACCCATTTCGTGCAAGATGGGAATTGCTTCGATGAGCATTAGCTTTCAACTTAAACGACATTAGTGCCTCTCCACTCGCTCCAGTCTCATCACTTGGACCACGCACTTAAGACGTGCACCATTTCGATTATACACGTAATGGACACTTAAGAGGAAGCACTCCCGTTTAAAACGAATAAATGGGCACCTAATGAAGTTAGAAGCCCCTTAATTACTTGATACAGACCTAATGTGACAAAGATTAGACCTCCAGATATTTAGAAGACGAGATAACATCTTTGGGAAAGACTTTCTACCACGTAATTGACTTACGTTTGCGGAAAACTGCGTAGTACATGAAAAATACGATCCAATTTTCCGTTCCTAAAATGAGTTTAATTTTTGAGATTTATTTAATGAACCGTTAACAATCAATGTGAGTGATTAACGCAATGGTTTGGAAGAATTAATTACGGATATTTTAATTTTAAATTATGTTACGATGTATACTTTCCGTCTCTCCCCTCCCTGTTTCCAATTAAGTTGGATGGAAATTTAAACATATTCAGTGGGGCGGAAATTGGTCGAGCGAGGAAAACTCTGGGTGGCCATGGCAGCATCCTTGGTTCGACCACATCTTGAGATTTTTGAACTTGGATATTGAAAATCCTGCTCGTGTCTTTTGTCAATAATTTCTAGAAACACGTTATGCTTCTTTTCTGGTAGTCGTGTTACAAATATACAGCTGCACATTTCTGTCACTAACATGAATGGGAACATGATTCCTATAGTAATCAAATATTTTTTTAAAGTACGAAGTAGAAATCACAGTCTGTTTTCAAATAAGTTTCCTTTTGTTTCCAGGTCGCTGGAGTGGTGGGCAGAGCTGATGTGCTGGCGTGCCTTTTCTTCCTCTCATCCGTTCTATTATATCATGGGTGAGTTGACAGTTCTTCTATCAAACTGATATTCAGAAAGAGAGTTAAATAATTTAGAACTCTGGTGAAAGTCAAACCTCCACTACCCTCAGGCATCCGTGACTGACGTGGCACTCTTAGGGTCAAAATCGTTTCCATTTCACACTAAAGAGGTTGTATTTAAAACTTAAACTAAAGAATTTGTTAGTGAGAAGCTATTGTTTCGCTTGAAAATGTAAATGAAAACCGCATACTGCCATACCCACCAGGCGAGATAGTATTCAAACATTAGCCCATCAAATGTATATAAAAAAAAGATTTCTATAGAGAACAACGAGCACTAAAATTGTATTACATACTAAGCTGGTTCAATCATGTATTACCTATGTATGTATGTAGATGAGCTAATATTAACACGGTACCTATGTACCTAATGTGTAAGTACGAGGTTTGGTCATTTATTAAGGCTGCGTACGTAAAACAAACATTCACCCAGATTGAATCCCCGTGTAATGAATATTTAATTAGGTCAGGTTGTATTAAAAAGTCGATACAGTTTCGTTATATAGAGGTATGTTTTTAATTTATCGCTTCACATAAAATTGGAGAAATTTAGGGATCAGTGTATGAATTAAAGTATAATAAAGATGTGCTGTAGGTTGTATATGAAACCTAATTAAACCAATTTAATTTTTTTTTTAAAAAACCGTAGCCCCACACTAGGATTTTCTCCTGTGTCGTGGGTGCGTTTACAAACATACAAGTTCACATACACAATGACACCCAGACCCGGAACAACAATTGTGGATCACACAAAGTGTTGTTCCGTGCGGGAATCGAACCCGCGACACGTTGCACGGCAGCCGGTTGCCCAGACACCGCACCAACCGTGCAGTCACCACCACGTTAATTTATAATAAATTAAAATTAATTTATAATAAATTAAACCCACGTTAACGAACATTACAGATCATCAGGTCGTCACAGAGTGTGGTCGAGCGTGGCACTGGCAGCGCTCAGCATGCTGGCAAAGGAGACAGGACTAACCGCGCTACTGTTCAATGTAGCCTTCGATTTGTACCGCTGTTGGACGTCTAACAGGTAACCTGTTGCAGTTGGTTTACTTCTAAATAACATTTCTTTTGTATTTAACTATTGTACGACTTACTCACGTAACTTCCTTGCCTTGCATGGTACCTCATTGAAACTCTAGTCACAGAATACTACTACAGTCCAGTTACCTCGTCGAAAAATTTGCTTCTGATATACAAAATTTGTTTACAAGATAAATGTATTCTTCGATTTTCATTTGTCATACTAAAATTAATATTTTAATTTATTAATTTGTAATTTCATCAATTCCAGGTTTTCACCATCAATAAAATGGCGATGGCGCACCGACAGTTTTTACGGGCGAGTGATTCGAGCACTGGCCGCATTGATCCTGCTGGCCGGAGTAAGGCTCGCGTTACTGCAAGGATCTCTCCCTGCATTCTCACCACAGGATAACCCTCCTGCTTTCCATCCATCGTTTAGCGTCAGGTGAGATCTTAAGTCAACTTTCTACAGGCATTGTACTATTTAATAGATAGTTTGCTGACCATATCACGTCGTCAAATGATGTACCTGTTTCCTGAAGGGTATAACCTGGATGTTTTCATGTGGTCCGTGTAAATAGGTTGCTTAGGGTTCGACGTGCTCCATCAGAGACTGCATCATTGCTTACCACCAGGCGAGATAATGGTCAAACATCAAATATAAAAAACGCCTACATAAAATTCATGGCTAGCAATGAAACAATAATATCTAAAGATAACACATAACATAACATAACATTACGCCTTCTATCCCCGAAGGGGTAGGCAGAGGTGCACATTACGGAACTGAGGTAACACCCACTTTTCACGATTTATGTTATTGGTCTAGTGAGCCTATTATTGCAGGTCTAATTTTTTAAATGCTCAATTATATCCTCATAATGTTTTATCTATGTTTCCAGGTTGATGACTTTCTGTTACCTGGCCGCATTCAACTGGTGGCTGTTACTCTGTCCGTGGACCCTCAGCCACGACTGGCAGATGGGCTCAGTGCCTCTCATCACCAGTGGCTGGGACCCGAGGAACTTGCTCACTTGCGCGGCCTTCATCGCATTACTGGCACTTTCCTACAGATGTCTAGTTGATTTGGAGGTACGGTTAATTAACATAAAATTAATTTATTTGCTACTTGTGACACCGGATACCTTACTTGACACTAAATTACTATAAGCTAATCTTAAACTGGTATCTTTATTTTTCAGTTACAACGACACGCGCCTGCAGTGGTAGGGTTGATGATGTTGGTGATACCTTACTTGCCTGCTTCCAATCTACTCGTCACCGTCGGTTTCGTGGTCGCTGAGAGAGTGCTGTATATACCAAGGTATAAAACTTTCTTTTAACTTCAAATGTAAAATATCTTTCTAGTCTCTTAGTACAAAAGGTTGGCATTTTTTTTCGATCTTCTATCGGATACATTTCGGTGAGTGTGCGTGGGAATTACACAAACTTATTCCCCCTAGTTCATTTCACCACCGTACCACCAAACGAACGGCGGGGCGCCACCCTTATAAGGTGGACATTCCACCCATTCGCACGAAGTGCTTCGCGTCAAGCTTCCTCATGCGAACCGCTAAGGAATGGAATTCCTTGCCAGAGGCTGTGTTTCCCGTCAAATATGACTTGGGTGTCTTCAAGTCCCGAGTGAACAGGTTGCTCATAGGTAGGCGTGCTCCATCGTCGGCCACATCATCGTTTACCATCAAGCGAGATGGTGGTCGAACGTCGACCTATCCTACTACTATTATAAAGGCGAAAGTTTGTAAGTATGGATGTATGGATGTTTGTTACTCTTTCACGTAAAAACTACTGAATGGATTTGAATGAAACTTTACCACAATATAGCTTATACATCAGAATAACACATAGGCTACAATTTTTGAGGTTTCTAATGTGAGGTCGTCATTTTTTGCGCTTACATTTCAAACGCTGACTGAATCCTACAAGATAGATCAAAACAATGTACTACAGTATTGTACAACTTAAAAAGGTCTACAAAAAAGTCCGTGATGGTATATGTTTATCTCTTAGGAATAACCCACAATAACCATTTTTTATCCTTTACTTTATACGAGAAAAAAGAGGATGAAAGTTTGTATGAAACTTTGTCAGTTTTTAACTGATCGGGTTGAAATTTGGCATGCAGATAGATGTTATGACGTAAGCATCCGCTGTGAAAGGATTTTGATAATTTCCACCCCCAAGGGGGTAAAATAGGGGATGAAAGTTTGTATGAGACT